TGGCCGGGCTCGCTTAACAGCGCCAAAATATTGGAGGCTTTTGGGGGTTCAGTCGCCCCAAGGTCTGTGAGGGGCAGGCCCGGCCTGTGGGGGGGCTGAGGAGAAGGGCCTGTCCCCTCCCCTGGTGTCTGTGACCAAGTCCTGAGTTCTGACACCACCTGGGTGGTGTTGGAAATGCAATGTGGTGTTCTTTTCACATCCTAGAAGCACATTCTTGGGGTGTTTTTATTCTATACCCCAGTGTTAGGGATATAATCGTTTTTGAGAAGTGATTTCTCTGCACGTTCCAATGACACCTGGGGGGGTTTATGGCCCAAGCCACGAGGGACTGACTGGGGCTCCATCTGGGGGTCCCAGCACGGGGCAGGATCGATGGCCAAGGTCAGACCCAACAAGGCCCCTTCTGTCCTGCTCCTCGGGGCAGGAGGGCACCAGTGGGTGCAGATCCGGGGGGGATGGGGAAGGCGGCCCAAACTTACAGGATCGTTAGAAGCGTGGGATGGGCTGTGAACCCTGGAGAGCCCAGCCAGGGGGAACCAGGGGAGGGAACGTTGGGAACAGGGAACAGAACCCGTTATTCACCTCCCTATGGGTGTGCCTGCTTGTTCAGGGCACCCATTCCTGCCAGGGTGTCAATAACCTGTGCTTGGCTGAAGGAGCCGTTTGGGCCTGTTCATTGGTGTGACAAACGTTTCTTACAATGGGATGGTGACCTGGGAATTCTTCAGGGATGCTCTGGGACCAACTGCTGGCTCTGAGCTGGGCTGGGCTTCAGGGGGAAGTCTGGGGCAGTGGGAGCTGGGAGAAAACACAAGTGGTGTGTCTCAAAATGCATCCCTGCCCTTTCTTACCCTGTGTGAGGGGGTTTCCCCGTCCCTGGGCAGGGTGCAGATGGTGTAGTGAAATGAACAGCAGATTAGGAAAAGAGGAACTTGAAACCAGCCTCTTGGTGAGTCATGCTACTGGGGAATCCACCTAAAATTATCCCAGTGTCCTGGAGAAAGTAATCCGTGTAGGATTTGGGATAATGAGTTATGCAGTGGTGCCTCTAGCCTTTGGTGTCCACCCACCCCTGCCCTTCTTGGGGTGGGCAAGCCCTGGGTCTAGCTGACAAGGTGATGGTCTGTGAGCAGCTTTGTTCAGCCACAGTTTAGTAGCTCTTTAGAGCCTGCAGTGGAGTCAAATGTCTGTCTGCAGTTGTGTTAAGATCTTTGGCGTGGTATTATCCTTGTGGTGGGGTCATTTTTCCTCATGTTCTCTCTGCTCCTCCCTCAGGTGGGCATCGATTTCCCAGCACAGCCCTTTATGCCTACGTGTGGTCTCTGCCCAGGAGGAAACCTTTGGTGTCTAGGAAGCTTTTATCACTGCCCTTTAAAGAAATTAATTTCTCTAAAAGAGGAAGAGTGAGTTGCTCAGCTTTGTGGTTCCTCACTTAATAAATCTTTAAAGAATATGAAGGAACACTTCACTTGGGGTGGAAGTGTGGAAAGGCAGTGAGTTCATGTGGCAACCTCCTAACCCAGATCTGCAGAGTGAAAGTCAGACTGGATCAGATGTGGTGCCTTAACTGGTAAAAAGCAAAGAAATCAGCAGTAGGAAGCAAAGCGGCTGTGCTGGGAAATGTCAAGATGTCTCACGAGCAGATGCAGTGATTTGAATTTGAGCTGGTATTCTCAGGGCTCTACACGTGTTTCAAGCAAAAGTGTGTTCAGAGCCAATTGTAAATGAAACCTTCACCCCTGTCCCGATGACTGTCATGAGTTTGCACGTAGTCAGACTTGTTTTGGTTTGTCAGTGAAGCTCTGAAGCTGTTTTGATGTTCACCAGCTTCCAGTTCTTCTAGGACAGTGCTCCCTCAAAGCAGAAGATGCTTTATATGTAAATCACTGAAGTGGTTATACAGGTTTAATTAAAATGGAGGTTTCATTTGGCGGGTTTTTGTTTTGGGTGTGTTCTTCATGTTCCTGAACATCTTGTGGTGCCTCATGGTGTGTTACCTCCTCTGGAAGCAGCGTGGGGCTGGTGGTGAGGCCCAAACCTGCAGCCCACCAGCCAAAGCTCCTGCCTTGGAGATGAGGTTTCTGCCTTCCTTTGTCCAACACCTTTCCAACCAACCTGGGCTGCTGGAGAGCTTGTGGGCTTTGCTGTGAGATGGCTGGTGTGAGGACACCTCCACCCTTTCCCTCGGAACTTTCTTGCTGCATGATGGCAAGAGAAAGGCTGTAATTAGTGCAGAGATTAAAACTTCTTTGGGGAAAGCCTGAAACTCCTTCTTACGGGGTGGTGGGGAAGGAATGTGGGCACGGTGCTGGGAAAGGAGGGGTCAAGCCTCATAAAGGCTTTTCTGCTCCCTTCCTCCTCATGCCTGGGACTGTCCCTGAGCACAGAGGAGGTGGTGTCCCCTCTGGCAGTCTGGTAACCAGCGTTGTGCCGTTTTTGAGTTCCTCCAGGCTGGGGTGGGAGCTGACCCCAGGTCTCAGAGCACTGGCTGGCTGCTCCCTGGAGACAGACAGGGCCCTTTCTCTCACAGCTGTAAAGAAAAGCAGGAAAAAAACCCAACCTGCTCTGGTGGTTTAGCCTAGAATGGGGTGTTGGGTGAGCCTGCCAGTGATCCCAGAGCTTCAGAGGTGGGATTTTTGGTGTCATCCCTTTCTCAGCTGCTCGTGAGTTCAGCTCTTCCTTCGCCTGAGCAGCGACGTGTCCCTGCCTAGGTGAGGAGGGAGAGGGGGGGGACAGGCTGTCCTGTCTGCCTGCTGGGAAGTGTGTGGCTTTCCATGGCATTCCATGGCTTTTCATGGCTTTCCCCACCCACCGGAGGCTGCAGCTCAGCTCTGCCAGGTGAAAAACCTCCTTCCTTTTGCTCCCGTCTATCCTGGATCAGACAAACACGCTTCTTTCCCTTTTAAAACCTCCTTGACCTCGGCGTCCGGCTGCTGCCGGGTACCAAGCAGGCTGCTCAACCCCCCTTTTAAAAAGATCAAGGGGGAATGAGATTTGTCTCCAACCGGTTAGAAACTCCCCCAAACAATTACAGCTCAGCCCTGAGCACCAAGAGGCTTCCGACGAACGCGAACCCGGAACAGACCCAGCGCCGCTTCCAGCCTTCGTTTGGGTGATGAAATCCCAAGCGCTGAGAGGAAACGCGGAGGGGAAAAGGCTGCAAAAGCCCCGATTTTTTTTTTCAGGGTTAAATCCCCGAGGTGTCCCAGGGCTGTGTCCTCCAGAGGGACCCGGTGGGCAGGCTCGGGGCCAGCGCTTCCTGGAGAGGCGACGGGTGGGGTGACGAGCCGCTTCCAATTGCGAGGCAGGCAGCACATCACATAAGATGCTCCG